ACACAGCCCTTGCTGGGACAGGATGCCCTCCCTGCACCATGGGGCCACCAGCTTGACCCACTCTGAGACCCATTCATCTGCAAGGCTCTCAGCCCATCGAGGGCACAGCCAGCAAACAGGCAGTCTTCCCTGTACCACTCCATTCTGGCTCAGACCCCCCACCCCAGCCCTGGCTTCCCTCCCTTGGCCCATGCCTCAGTTTCCCCTAGGATCTGGCAGGATCCACACGAAGACCCTTCCCAAATGAGACACCTCTTCCTTTAGGTTTGTCAGCTGCTCACGCTGTTTATTCTGCTAGCTTTGGGGCTGCGGGACATGGGCAGTGCTGGGCTCTTCTTCTGCCTGCAGCCCATTTGGGGAGCATTAAACCCTTCCCCTGCTAGGCTAGCAGCTGCCTGAAGGCTGTGGGAAAGAGGCCATGCACAGCCTGGACAGGCTGAAAGAGAGAAGTGGGCTGGGAACTGTGCACAACTCCAACATGGGGTTGGCTAAGAACAAGGAGGCAGTGCCCAACTCTCTTGCCACTGCCCGGCTTCTCGGCAGGGGGACTTTGCATGGTGCCCCCATGCTCCAACCTGTGAGCACATCCCCTCCAGCACAAGCCTTTCCCTGTAGCAAGGCTGGGAAGGGGCACTTGCTCTCCATGGCATCCTTGAACTGAGCTGGCTCTGAGCAAAGATGCTGACCTCAGGGCAGGTGAGGAGCCAGGCAAGGGGGTGCTGCTGATGGGGGGCATCAGCTTGGTATTTGTAGGAGGAGGAGAATGGGAGGGACATTTGGGGCAGGGCAGCAGCTCTGGCCAGGCTGCTTCAGCCCCTGCTTGTCTTCTCTTGCTGGGTCAGGGCTGGAAGCATTCTATGGGGTCATTGGAGTCGGGCAGGATGTTGCAGTTGATGGGCCAGAGGATGCCAGGGAGGCCGAGGGACTGCTGGCACCGCAGCTCGGCAGCCAGGCACAAGGCTCCACAGGGCTGCAGGACACCCCCATCCGGGGTGCACTTGGGCACGAAGAGACTGCAAATGAGTAGTCGGAGGTGCTGGTAGCAGGCGAGCTCCATCAGTGTCTGCAAGAGAGCAGCAGTCAGTGAAGCATGCCATGGTGTGGTGCGGGCAGACCTACTGGCAGCCCCTGGGAAGCTCACCTGATAGTCCTGGAGCACCTCGGCAGCTCCCTCCTGGTCTGGGATGGCCAGCCAGATGTTGGGAAAGGAGGTGGCGTTGTAGCCCAGCCCTAGGCACATCTCCACTTCCACAGGCTCACAGACAGACCCTGCCACAGGGCACTTCTTATAGCAGCAGTGATGCCCATCAAGTGTCATGGTGCTGCCAGCACACCTCCTGGGCCAGGTCTAGGGGTGGCACTCACCAAAGGCTGGGTAGGAGACCCCAGTGCAGTTCAGCTCATCGGTGCCATCGGGGCAGTCGTGCCAGCCATCACATACAGACTCCAGCGCCCGGCACTCGCCATTCCCACAGGAGAACTCTGTGGGGCTGCAGGTCTCTGTAAGAGCAGTATGGGCACGGTCAGAGAGCAGGCTGGCCTGGCTAGGACTCAGCCTGTTCCCATGCTGACCACCTCTGCCTTCACTCTTCTTGGTCACTGGCCAATAGGTGACCATTGCTGTCCCAGCTGAGGGGGATCCCAAATTCTCTGCATTATCTGGGAGCAGCCCTCAGGTGATGGACCATGATGTGTGCAGGCCAGCCCTTCCACATTCCAATGGCTAGGATCAATAGGGTAATTCAGGTGAAGTGACCCCCAGGGTCCTGTAGCCCAAATTCCTGCTCCAAGCAGGGTCAGCTATGCATGAGAGCAGTTTTTTTTTTCCAGGGCTTTGTCCAGTCTGGGTTTGAAGATCCCAGGGACAGTGACTGCATAGCCCCTCTGAGTATCCCGTGCCCCTGCTTGGCTACCTACTCTCTGTGGCATTGTGAGCTTGGTAGGTGGCGAAGAATCCATCATCTGCTACTCCCTCATCTGCCACGAAGAGGACGGTCATGACATGGCGTGAGGAAGTCAGGATGGGTGGCAGCTGATGGCCACAGAACCTGCCAAAGTAGTGGGGTGAGAGATGGGGTCAGGGCAGGCAGCAGGGCTGACCAGCACCTCCCCAAACCCTGTCCTCCAGTGGCTTCTCCTCCCCCGCCTGCCCTGTGCTTCAGTTGCCCCATCTAAGGCACGGGAGCCCAGTGCACCCAGGCTAGTGCAGGAGGGCCAGGGATACCATGGTCTGTACCTGCCCATGAGGCTGGCAGCCCCCGTGCCAGCACTGTCGTGCACCTCCACGAAGTCGAAGCTGCAGTCCTCGTGCGTCTCCAGGCTGAAGTTGTGGAAGTGCAGGTCGATGACGTGTCCCACGGGCACTGAGATCTGCCAGAGGCACAGCTGCAGGGCAGGGGGCAGCCGTGACACCCACGAAGCCAGGCAGGGACACCCCAAGCTCTCCCCAGTGGGAGGTTGTCTTCTTCCCTGCCCACCCTCACCCTGCTCCCACCTTCATCCCACCAGCATCCCCTCTCTCACCTGCTGGTGTGGGTATGGCTGGGGATGGTTTGGGGTGGAGAAGTGCCCCTCCAAGGCAGTTAGTGGCCCCCCGCACTCTGGAGGGACACACACACACAGAGCTTTACCCCGTGCCCCTGTCCCTTCACTCTTTCTCCTCACTCCCCTGCCTCCCACCACCCATCACCGTGCCCTCTGGCTGGGTGCTGCAGGGGCTGTGGGAAGGGTAAACACTGACCTTTGTGTTTGAGGCTGCAGTTGGCCTCATCGCTCTTGTCTGTGCAGTCGTGGAAGCCATCGCAGACAAAGCCCGGGTGGAGGCACAGCCCCTGGTCACACAAGTGCTCATCCCAGGCGCAGGTCTCTGGCAGAGACAGCCAGGCTGGTGGTGGCATCCCCCTGGGCACCCTCCCATGCCCCAGTGCCGTGGGCATCACGAGAGACCCCCCAGTGTTACCCACTGGCTGCAGTGAGGAGTCCTAGTGATGCCCAGGGAGTGGGTACTCACTGTCATTGGGGGCCACAGCACGGTAGTGGGCACTGAAGCCTGGGGCACCCACGCTGCTGTCAGAGACGAAGGTGACACGCAGGTGGTTGGAGTTGGTGTTGAAGGTCGGGGGTGCCACGTTGCCACAAAACCTGGGGGCACAACAAGGGGTGACACTGCTCACCCCCTGCCCACTGCACTGCCGTGCTCCCTGCGTGCCAGGTGCCCTACCTGGTCGGACCCCCCCGAGCTGGGGCAGGGTCCATGCTGCCAGCACCCTGCTCTTCATAGAGCTCCACACGGTCAAAGAGGCAGGAGGCAGTGCCCTCCACACTGAATGTCTCCATCTTCAGCTGGATGGCAAAGCCCGGGCTCACCTCGATGCGCCAGATGCAGAGTGCATCAGGGGGATACGGGCTGGGGTAGTTGGGAGAGCTGAAGGAGCCCTCGGCGCCCCGCAGGGTCCCTCCGCAGGCTGCATGGGGCAACAGTGTCGGTCTGAGATAGTGCTGCAGGGCACCGCTGTCCCGGCACACTGCCCCGCACAGAACTTACCCGGTGCTGCGGTGCCGGCGGTGGGCAGCCAGCTCTGGGTTGGGTTGGCAGCAGTTTGGGGGTCCGGGGCGTCCCTTCGGGTGGGT